TCCTTCTGTGATTTTGTCTTATTTTATTTTTCTTTCCCTTCCCCTGTGATCCTGTTTTGTTTCTTAAATTCCACATATGAATGAAATCATAATTGTCTTTCTCTGATTGACTTATTTCACTTAGCATAAAACCCTCCATCCATGTCATTGCAAATGGTAAGATTTCATTTTTCCGATAGCGGAGTAATATTCTATTGTGTGTGTGTGGTGTGTGTGTGTATGACACACACACACACACACACACACACACACCCGACATCTTCTTTGTCCAGTCATCTGTTGATGGGACATCTGTGCTCTTTTCATAGTTTAGCCGTTATGGGCATCCACTACTTTAGAAGAGAACTTGCTAGCTCTTCACCCTTCAAGATTTATTTTTTAAAACATAGGTTTCACCAAGTTCTGATGTTTATATCCAAAATGATTTTCTTCTTAGGTGTTTTAGAACTTGAGTTTTGCCTGATTATTTATTAACCAGACAACAATTTACCACTTTCAAAATCCTGAAATTATGCGCATATATATATACATTACAGTGTTGAGCCACATCCCCTTAACTCTCATCAGCCCAGAAGAGATTTAATCTGTTTGCATTTGATTTGATTGCTTTTACCTGATACATGTCATTTAAGTACCAAATAAAATAAGGAAAAATAAATAAAAGTGTATTGAAAATGTAACTGTTTAAAACATTTAGCAAATCCCTCAGTTAGTCTTATCAAATTTTTTAAAGTGTGTTTTAATATCTCCAGGGGTGCAATTCTTCTGAATGGCTATACTTCCTTGGGGAAGAATGGGCTGAACTTGGCATGATCATAGTAGAATATATTTTAAAAGAAATCAAATCCAATATAAAGAAATCAATGTTTAGATGTTTATTCATTTGTTTATATTCATTTATTTGTTCCTTTGACCAATGTCTATTAATTTCCAGGATATAAAAATTAACAAGCCTATTCCACTGCTTTGCAAAGAAATCAAGAGCAGCCCGGGTGGCTCAGTGGTTTAGCGCTGCCTTCAGCTCAGGGCGTGCTCCTGGAGACCCAGGATCAAGTCCCACGTCAGGCTCCCTGCATGGAGCCTGCTTCTCCCTCTGCCTGAGTCTCTGCCTCTCTCTCTCTCTGTGTCTCTCATGAATAAACAAATAAAATCCTAAAAAAGAAATCAAATTTGAAACAGAGCTATTATACTGAAAGAATATTAATGTACCCTGGCCTCCTTTTTATTTGTCTTTAAATTTGTCAAAAAACCATGGTTTGTACTCTATTTCTTTTTCATTTATGTTTTCATGTTGAGAGAATAAAGGAAAATTGGGGGGAAAATTACTATCTTATAAGTGGGTAGCTCCGAATGTATATCACAGGCAAATATTTTTCTATGCCTTATGTGTTTAAAAAAAATAAATTTAGGTTTGTTAAGCACAGAAAATGTTAGTATTAACCTAAAATCAAATAAGCCCTGGTCATATATGAGGAATTTGAATATACTATTTAAATTACTCCTATATCCAGATGATTTGATAATTTATCAATAATGCTTATAAGAAAAAAGATATCTGTTGCTATTAGGAAGGGTTCTGTTTCTTTTTCTGGGTTTTGCTTCAAGGAGGTTACCTGGGTCCAGGTTCTGGTCCTTCCTTTTAGGTCCAGCTTTGGAAATTCTGTTCAGGAACTGCATCATGCTATCCAAAGTACAGTGGGACACTGTGTAAGCCAGAGTATGTAAATGTTCCTTTATTTAAAACTCAAAATGTGACTGTATAATAAGCAAAGAACTTTACTGATCAACACATTCCTTCTTTGTGGAAATATCTACTCAAAAAGGTAATTTATTGCCTAATGGCTTAATTGGTGAGCATGAAACCAAAGTAAGAGAGGCTAATCAGAGGTCTTTCTGACTAGGGGTGCTGGTCACCCAAGCCATTCATCTAGTCTGTAGACGTAAAATCATCAGGTAATTAGGATCATTGTGACAACTGGTCAGACTTCCTGTGTCCAAAAGTCATTAAAGAATCACAGGCAAATGCTGCCTCTCTGACCTTGTATCCATGCTTCATATTGATCATCTTTTCTCCCCCCACAGCCTGTCTCCGGACAGGTAGCCCACACCACACACCTGACTACACTTGGTCCACCATTGCATTCTCCTGGTCTGCCTCCCTGAGATTGTATCACCGCACCCTGACTATAATTTTGGAGTCTCCCAAAACTCTCCAGTCACCTTTTCCTGATATTCGCTTGTTTATCAAGTCTATGATAAAATTCATAGGCCAACTATTTTATCACTAGCTTGTTGATGTGTCCATTTCTCAATAGGCAAGCTGAATTACCAATGTGTCAATAATTTGTTTCCATTCACTACTTATAAAGTATATTTTGATTCATGGTCCTGCTGTCAGCTGCTATTTTTTGGCTTAAATGGAATTTCCTGTGTTTGAGATTTCAGTTAAAATGCATGTTACAAATACAAAGGATTAAATTAACAGTAAGCTGAGTATATTTCCTCTTTCTAGTCATTCTATGCTATGGCCTTTTAAAAAATTTCCAGTTTTATTGGGATTAAATTGACATAGAACACTATATAAATTTAGAGTTGACAAGCATTAGGATTTGACTCACAAATATTGTAAAATGATCACCACAGGAGGTCTAGTTAACATTTATCATGTCATAGAGATACAAAAAAAAAAACAAGAGATTTGACATTTTGTGATGAGAACTCTTAGAGTTTACTCTTAACAACTTTCAAATATACTGTACATCATCATCAACAATAGTCATCATGTTGTACCTGACATCCCCAGTACTTATAACTGGAAATTACACCTTTTGGACACCTTCATCCAATTCTCTTTCCACCCAACTCTACTCCTCTGGTAATCACAGATCAGATTATTTTCCTCTATGAGTTATTTTTATTTGTTTTAAATCCCACATGTAAAAGACATCAAGTGTTTGCTTTGCCTGACTTATTTCACTTAGGATAATGCTCTCATGTTGTTGCAAATGGCAAGATTATTTCCTTTTTATGACTGAATAATTTCAATTGCGTATGTATACTAAAACTTCATTTATCCATCAGTGGGTACTTAGATTGATTCCATGTCTTGGCTATAATAGGTAATGATGCAATGAATCTGGGGGTCCAAAGAGCTCTTCCACATAGTGCTCTCTTTTAGAGATGTTCCCAGAAGTAGAATTGCTAGATCATATGGTAATATTATTTTTAAATTTTTTTTAAGATTTTATCTGTTTATTCATGATAGAGAGAGGCAGAGACACAGGCAGAGGCAGAAGCAGGCTCCATGCTGGGAGCCCAACGTGGGACTCGATCCCGGGACTCCAGGACCACACCCTGGGCCAAAGGCAGGCACCGACCCACTGAGCCACCCAGGGATCCCCTTATTTTTAATTTTTAAAGACATCTTCATTGTATTTTGTTTAGTGGATGCACCAATTTACATTCCTACTAACAGTGCACAGGGCTCCCTTTCCTCCAGCCTTTGGTAACTCCTTTTGTTAGCCATTCTGACAGGTGTGAAGAGCTATCTTGCTGTGGGCTTGATTCACATTTCCCTTATGCTTAGTGATATTGAGTACCTTTTCATGTATTTGTAGGCTATCTGTATGTCATCTTTGAGAAAAAAATGTTCCGGTCCTTTATTCATTTTGATTTGATTATTTGGGAGGTTTTTGGGTTTTGTTGTTGTTTCTGTTATTGAGTTGTATTAGTTCTTCATAGGTCTTGGATATAAACTCCTCACCAAATATATGGTTTACAAATTTTTTTTCTGCTTTCATAGATTTTTCTTTGCATTTTTTGGATCACTTCTTGCTGTGCAGAAGCTTTTTAGTTTTATATAATCCCACTTATTTATTTTTTTATTTTGTTGCGTGGGCATTACATGTTATATTTTAAAAATCATTGCCAAAATCCATGCCAAGAAGCTTTTCTCCTATGTTTTCTTCTAGGAATTTTATGCATTTTGGTCTTATATTAGGTCTTTCATCCATTTTGAGTTATTTTGTGAGCAGTGTGACGTAGGGGTATAGTTTCATTTTTTTTAATGTGAATATCCAATTATTCCAGGACCATTTATTGAAGAGAGTACCTTTTCTGCACCAAGTATTCTTGGCTCCCTTGTCAAATATTAGTGAATCGTGTTTGTATGAGTTGATTTCTGGGCTGTTGATTCTTTTTCATTGTTCTATATGTCTGATAGTTCTGATTATTTTACCTTTAATATATGGCTTAAAATCAAGAAGGGTGATGACTCCTGCTTTCTTCTTTCTCAGGATTACTTTGACTATTCAAGGTCTTTTGTGGTTCCTTAAAATTTTAGAATTTATTTTCTACTTCTGTAAAAATGTCATTAGAATTTTGACAGGGATTAGATTGAATCTATAGATGGCTTTGAGAAGTATGGACATTTTATTTTTTTTGGACATTTTAACAATATTAATTGTTCCAATCAATGAACATGGGATTTACATACTGATAGTAACTCAATCAAGATTTCAGCTGAAGTAAGTAAAGTTGTTTTCTTTCCCAGGACCATTCTCATTCAAAGGTCCTCTATTACTGATTATTAATACTCTGCAGTAATTCTCTTACAGATTTGTACATATGTAGCTCTGAGACAATCCATATTTCATGATTATTTTCTTTGTAATATGGTTTGATATTTTTTAATTCCATCACAATGCCAATGGCTCACCATAGGTAATCACTATTTCCCTTTTTCTTTCCCTATTTCCCTTTTATAAAACTAGATATGTTAAGAATTTAGCAAAAGACAATTTAAATTTGTTTAAATAGGTAACTCTTTTTCTTTCTCTTTTCTTCCTTCCTTCCTTTCCTTCTTATTTATAACTCGGTGAATTCTTAAAGTTGTTTTCTAATAGTCTTGTGCACACCAAAAATTTATGGAATGACAAATAAAAGAGTTGTTTAAAAGTAATTCTGTTACATAGCTATCTGGTTCTCTCTTTAATAGTAAGATGGAGAAAAATCAAACAATGGTTACAGAATTCATCCTATTGGGATTTTGTCTTAGCCCAAGAATTCAGATGGTTCTCTTTGGGCTCTTCACCCTGTTCTACGCCTTCACCCTCCTGGGGAATGGGCTCATCCTGGGGCTCATCTCACTGGACCCCAGACTGCACACCCCCATGTACTTCTTCCTCTCCCACTTGGCCATCGTCGACATAGCCTATGCCTGCAACACGGTGCCCCAGATGCTGGTGAACCTCCTGAGGCCAGACAAGCCCATCTCCTTTGCTGGCTGCCTGACACAGACCTTTCTCTTTTTGACTTTTGCTCTGATAGAATGTCTTCTCCTGGTGGTGATGTCCTATGACCGGTATGTGGCCATTTGCCACCCCCTCCGCTATTCAGTGATCATGAGCTGGAGAGTCTGCATCACCCTGATGGTGGCTTCCTGGGCATGTGGCTCCCTGCTGGCCCTGGTCCATGTGAGCCTCATCCTGAGGCTGCCCTTCTGTGGGCCTCATGAAATCAACCACTTTTTCTGTGAAATCCTGTCTATCCTCAAGCTGGCCTGTGCTGACACTAGGCTCAACCAAGTGGTCATCTTTGTTGCCTGCATGTTTATCTTAGTGGTGCCCCTCTGCTTGGTGCTGGTGTCCTACTCACGCATCCTGTTGGCCATCCTGAGGATCCAGTCTGGGGAGGGCCGCAGAAAGGCCTTCTCCACCTGCTCCTCCCACCTCTGTGTGGTGGGGCTCTTCTTTGGCAGCGCCATTGTCATGTACATGGCCCCCAAATCCCACCACCCTGAAGAGCAGCAGAAGATCCTTTTCTTGTTTTACAGTCTTTTCAACCCTATGCTGAACCCACTGATCTACAGCCTAAGAAATACAGAAGTCAAGAGTGCCCTGAGAAGAGCAATGTGCAAGAAAAGTCATTCCCAATTGGAGTGACATTGGAATCACCAGGCTGAGTGTTAGTGTCCAAATCCAGGAAATTTCACTGCTCTCCTCTTAGATCTGCCTAAAGGACACAAGAGCAAGCCTTCTCTCTTCTTTTGAATGAAAAGGTTTAGATATGTTACATTCATTAATTATCTAGCAGGTGTGATTTTATCAGATATGATTTTTTTCTTTGCTCATTGAATTTAATATCTGAAATTAAAAATTGTTTTAATCCATTTTCTGGGTCCCATCAATTGAATACAGCCTATCTATCTCTCTAACCCTAAGTATTTAAAACACAAAAACTGCATATATCATCGGATTTGGAAGAAAAAAACCTTGCAGTAAAGGGCAATGACCCCCTAAAGCCATAGGCACACTTGTCCATTCTCCTAAAAATTTACTTGCCCTGCTAAAGACAACTGTTAAAGAATAACTCAGAGATATTTATTTAGTGTTTTGCATGACGGTGAGAAATTTTAAATGAAAAGTATTGACTCAGGGAGGAATGAGCAGGCTGAGCAGAGGAACAAAATTAATGCAAAGTATATTGGACAAAGGAGGAGAAGGAAAAATCTGTAGACAATGTGAGAACAGTGCATATTGTTCACAGCTTCAGAAATAAACTGGTTACTAGTAGCTAGCAAAGGAGCCAAGCTGGGTATTCTCTCCCTGAATAGGCTGATAAGGGGTAGCAAAGAAAACAATGTGAGCTGTTTATGGATTCTCCAGAAAATTTTGAGTGTTGAGCTGCAAATTATGTAGATGTACAAACTATATCAATATGTAGTTTTCTGGTGTCTTGTTATCAGCACTTGCACCTGGGTGCATCATTTCCCTCATTAGATGTCTCATCCTTGAAATAGGAAATTTGACCAGAGAGTGCAAGTGGCTAGTATAGTATAGCTGGCTATTCTCATTTAGTAGTGGATTGATTTTTACTGATTCATTCTACATTACAAATCCAATAATCAGTCATGAACCCTGTACATTTCAGGTGGCTTTGTAGGATGTTACCTATAAAATCCACCTTCTTTAATATTTTGTTTATTTATTTGAAAGAGAGACTGTGAGTATGGGCAGGAGCAGAGGGAGAGAAGGAAGCACACTCTTCGCTGAGCATAGAGCCCAACGTGGGGCTCGAACCCACAACACTGAGATCATGACCTGAGCTGAAATCAAGAGTTGGAGGCTAAGCTGCCGGAGCCATCGAGGCACCCCTAAAATCCACTTTGTATACACACATACCGGAAAGTAGGAAATGTCAGGCTTTTGCCTTGACAGTCCGGCTCAGACAATAGTTTGTTGTGCTAGCTAGTTAAGCCCTCGGTACTTAACCACAACAGTGTACGTTGTGTATACCAACATCCGTGTTATCAATAAAGAAGAACAAGGCTAAATTATCCCAAAGACGGATATGTTATGTGAAAGAGGGTGTACTTCCAGCCTCATGTACCACAGTAAGTCGATCTATGCTCTGTAAGGCCTAGAAGGTGAGATCATTTATGAGAAGCTGGTTGTCATGGACAATGACTCCTAAGGGTAGAGTCATAAAAATATTTGGACTTTTAGGGAAACAGAGAACATAAGCAAATGAGAACCAAGGCCGTTCTTAGATTGGTGATTAGTTGAGCTAAGACCCAGAATCAAGATAACAACACCATAATATATGCCTCCACGCACCTCTCGGCTAGTCAATGCACTTCACATATTTAATCCTCAAAACACTCCTTTGGGGCAAAAAAACAATATCACTCACTTTACTTATAGGGAAACTGAGGCACGGGGATGTCGAGTAAATTGCCCAGTATCAAAATGCTGAATATCTAGTCCCAGATTAAACTGAGGCAATCAGATCCTTAACCTTATAGTCATAACCACATGGCCTCTTTGGAACTATCTGTGGATAATGATCAGAGAAATGGAGGTAGTGAAACAAAACCAGTGACAAAGACCAAGTGATGGGCATTAGGCTTCTGACAGAAGCTTTTGTTTGCTAGAGGAAGCACCTTAACTGTAAACTGATATGTAAACAGTGGGTGTGGCAACAAGGAAGAATTTGACTCCAAGGGTCAGAGACCAAGAAAGGCTAGCCTGGGCCATAAACTGTGCAGGGAAGCAGGAAAGGGGAAGACAGATGATTCAGTGTCACACTGACGAAGTAGTGTTGGAGTAGAATTAGAATGGATGCTTGATAGTAGTTTATCTAAAGGTGCCCTTTCCCAAGACAAAGGAATTTAGATTTCATTTTTGGCGTTGAATATTGTTATGATCTTTCAGGTGGCATTTTATGGAACACTGCTCAGCTAGGTATCAAGTTTCACAGGTTAAGATGGGAGCTCCCCAAGGGTAGGAACTGGAGTCTGTTCATCACTTTTTCATCCACACTAACACACTGCCTAGCACATAGGAGGCACTCAAGCATTGGTCGGGTACATTCATGAGCCTTTATCAATTAGCTATACACAACTTTCAATGTTAAACTATCTTATGATTTCTACATTTTTCAAAATCCTTCTATTTGCAAAACAGAGTAGGATAGAAAACAATTGCAGCTAAAATTTATTTAGTAATGTCTGTGTACCAGACACCATGTTATATTCTTTAGATGTAATACTCACATCAGAGCTGTGAAGTATTAATGGTACTTTCATTTATAGAAGGTAAGGTGAGGTTTGGAGAATTAAGTAACATACTCAATGTCATAGTAGAATCAGAATTCAGATCTAGTCAATCCAATCTAGATTAACTGTGAATGATCCTTTTGTAAAGGACCTTCTGATACTTGCATATTCAATGGCTAGGTGAAGGCTCATGTCATAGTAGTCAACAAATGCTGAAGAATGAAACTAGACCACTCTCTTGCACCATACACAAAGATAAACTCAAAATGGATGAAAGATCTAAATGTGAGACAAGATTCCATCAAAATCCTAGAGGAGAACACAGGCAACACCCTTCTTGAACTTGGCCACAGCAACTTCTTGCAAGATACATCCATGAAGGCAAGAGAAACAAAAGCAAAAATGAACTATTGGGACTTTATCAAGATAAGAAGCTTTTGCACAGCAAAGGATACAGTCAACAAAACTAAAAGACAACCTACGAATGGGAGAAGATATTTGCAAATGACGTATCAGATAAAGGACTAGTTTCCAAGATCTATAAAGAATTTATTAAACCCAACAGCAAAGAAACAAACAATCCAATCATGAAATGGGCAAAAGACATGAACAGAAATCTCACAGAGGAAGACATAGACGTGGCCAACAAGCACATGAGAAAATGCTCTGCATCACTTGCCATCAGGGAAATACAAATCAAAACCACAGTGAGATACCACCTCACACCAGTGAGAATGGGGAAAATTAACAAGGCAGGAAACAACAAATGTTGGAGAGGATGCGGAGAAAAGGGAACACTCTTGCACTGTTGGTGGGAATGTGACCTGGTGCAGCCACTCTGGAAAACTGTGTGGAGGTTCCTCAAAGAGCTAAAAATAGACCTGCCCTACGACCCAGCAATTGCACTGCTGGGGATTTACCCCAAAGATACAGATGCAGTGAAACGCCGGGACACCTGCACTTGATGTTTATAACAGCAATGTCCACAAGAGCCAAACTGTGGAAGGAGCCTCGGTGTCCATCGAAAGATGATGGATCAAGAAGATGTGGTCTATGTATACAATGGAATATTCCTCAGCCATTAGAAATGACAAATACCCACCATTTGCTTCAACGTGGATGGAACTGGAGGGTATTATGCTGAGTGAAATAAGTCAATTGGAGAAGGACAAACATTAGATGGTCTCATTCATTTGAGGAATATAAAAAATAGTAAAAGGGAATAAAGGGGAAAGGAGCAAAAATGAGTGGGAAATATCAGAAAGGGAGACAGAACTCTGAACTCTGGGAAACGAACTAGGGGTGGTGGAGGGGAGGAGGGCGGGGGTTGGGGGTGAATGGGTGATGGTCACTGAGGGGGGCACTTGATGGGATGAGCCCTGGGTATTGTTCTGTATGTTGGCAAACTGAATACCAATAAAAAATAAATTTATTATTAAAAAATAAAAAACAAATGCTGACTCATACATGGTCATTTAGCCTAGACTCCTATCCAAAAAAACTCCATATATATCTGGTTTTATATATATAAAATATGTAGCTTCATCAAATATGTAACTTAAATATAGTAGCTATTGTTATCCTTACAAAGTTAGCCATCTTGTCCATCAGTCACTTTAGTTTCAAATGCACTCAGTTCTTGCAAAAAGTTTCTAATAGGGTGAATATTAATGACTAATTATGTCTCATTTGCCAGTGATTACAGGAGAATTACAAACATATTAGAAGGTATTTACTCCTTAATATAAAAAAAGAGCTATGTATATTTGTTTCTAATATGTAGAAGCGAAGATATGAGCCTTTTTTTTTTAAGATATGAGCCTTTTAAAAAAGAGCATGCCAATTTGTGAAAGCTTCTGATTACAGTATGCCAGGAGGTGCTTGTACTAGCAAGATGGTGGAGAATTAGGGGTTGTAACTACTGAAAATGATCGGGTGGGATGCTGTAGGTGGGAGCTAGTTCACAAGCCATTTGAAATTGGATTCCTGGGTGTCTTTGGCATGTGGAGTGGGCACTGACAACCACTGACCTGTAGGTTGATTGTTTATTCTTTTTTAGATGGCGTAGACCAGAGCTTCTCTGGTGTGCATACAAATCATCAAAGATCTTGCAGAAATACAGGTTATGATTCAGCAGCCCTGAATGGGATGGGCAGAGATTTGCATTTCTAACAATCTCTTCTATCTTGCTGATGATGCTGAGCCACAGTCCATACTTTGAATGTCCATGCAGTGGAGAAGCATGGTTAAATCTATGGTTCTTAGGGAGGAAAACGGGAGGAGATTTCTAATGGGGTCTCACAAGATGTCACAGTTGTGATATCTTTTCTGAGACCACAGGGAAGTGTCTGCTTTCCTTCCTTAATGAAATTTGATTAGAGCACT